TATGTATGTATGTATGTATGTATGTATGTATGTATGTATGTATGTATGTATGTATGTATGTATGTATGTATGTATGTATGTATGTATGTATGTATGTATGTATGTATGTATGTATGTATGTATGTATGTATGTATGTATGTATGTATGTATGTATGTATGTATGTATGTATGTATGTATGTATGTATGTATGTATGTATGTATGTATGTATGTATGTATGTATGTATGTATGTATGTATGTATGTATGTATGTATGTATGTATGTATGTATGTATGTATGTATGTATGTATGTATGTATGTATGTATGTATGTATGTATGTATGTATGTATGTATGTAGTATGTATGTACGTAGGTAGGTAGGTAGGTAGGTAGGTAGGTAGGTATGTATGTATGTATGTATGTATGTATGTATGTATGTATGTATGTAACGATGAACTGTAAATGTTCAAGTTAGACAAGTAAATGTTCTGTTCTGTTCTGTTGTATGTATGCTCATGCTATTTTATGCCAAATAAAGGCCCGTATTCAGAATCGATACTTACACTCACACTCATTGAGTAAATCCCATATAATTGTCTAACGGTCAAGACAGTCCGGAAAGTGTCTCGTAAAGTCAGGAAAGTGGAGAATCTGTGAGATTAGGAAGGGGCTACCTTGATGTCCTCAATAAAATAATACTGAATACCACTTGTTCCTTTAACCTTTACTGATCTATTTGTATCAACTAAATAGAACAACAACAAAACCAAAATTCTGAATATATATTGTATCGAGCACTTGGGTAAAGCTTTAACAATCCATTACAATCCAACAAACATATATATAAACATATACCAGTATACTAGTAAATCTATTAATAAAAACATCCATCACTTTCATAAATGATACAGTATCAATTCAAACAACTAATACCAATATATATATAAACCATAAACATGTAAGCATTCGTATTGTTACTAGTAAACATATTTTCCCCGAACTTTTGTTAATCAACAAGTTAAATCAATGTTAAAAATTAATGCGACTGTAAAGTATCGATACCCAAAGCTGAATGACTTTCAATTACAATTCATAATGCACAGTAACTCGTGCATACGTAATTGAACAAAACAACTTCTGATTGGTACATTCAAAAGATCTATCCAATCTAAAGGAAATTATTTACCGCCTAATTCGCTTCACTTAACCGGAGGAAAATATATGTTTTGAGTATTGATTTTGAATTAATTTTGTCACATATACATTTTAAGTGCATCATATACGCGATCTGACAGTATATTTAGAGGAAATGTGTTGATAAACAGATACTTAGTGATAGAGATGATCACATTAAATTTATGTCAGAAGTTGAATTTTATCAGAAATTTTGATTTTCAAAGAAGTTTGCACATTTTATACCCAGTATGATACAAGTAGTATGTACTATTAAGAGTGTATTCGGCTCGCGGGATACCAGTACTTATGCCAAAAAAGAAATGAAGAGTCATTCTATATTTTCGTAGCATTTTCTGTCCTAGGACCAACACTTTATTTAAGAGATTTTACTATAAATGCAAATGGACATGAAATGTTTAGCTGAAATCTCATAAGTTCAACAGTTTTGAGGTTTTTACCAGTTATATAAACACTTAAAGCTACATTAAATAAATTTCATAAAAACAGAAATAGCGACATTTCATTAATAAATTGGATTTCATATCGACTCCAAATCTTATCATGGTGTCAAGGCAACCAAAACGAGTTTAATAATCATAAATATCTGCGACATCGTTGTGGCAAAATCGGAAGTACAATTTCTGTTCAATTTCTGTTTCCATAAGAACATCCGCCTTCGGATCATCCGCACATCAATACTAAATCAACAAACATGGCTATAAGTAGCAGTCCTAATATTTATGGGCTAGTAGGAACAAAGAAAATAACAAAGAAAATAGCCCCTAAACCCAAAATGTTGGAACGTCCGTCCGTCCTTCCGTCCATCCGAGCAAACATTTTGGGTGTAGGGGCTATATATCAGTAAAGAGAACAAAAGAGAACAATAGGTTCATTCCGTGATCAAAGGGTTTAGGGGCTAATAGCCCTTAAGAAAACAAAGAAAATAACAAAGAAAATAGCCCCTAAAACCAAAATGTTGGAACGTCCGTCCGTCCGTCCGTTCCCTTTTTGTGTCGCACGTAGCTCAAAAAGTAATTGACCTAGAGTCACGAAACCTTACAAGAATGTTGATCAGCATGTGAAGTTGTGCACCTGGGTATTTTCATGTGGATATATTTGAGCCGCGCCATGACAAAACCAACATAATGGGTTTGCGACCAGCATGGATCCAGACTAGCCTGCGCATCCGCGCAGTCTGATCAGGATCCATGCTGTTCGCTATCAGTTTCTCTACTTGTTATAGCGTTTGTAAGCGAACAGCATGGATCCTGATCAGACTGCGCGGATGCGGGGAGCGGGGATATAGAAATAGTCTCCGTCCTTCCTTCCGTCCGTCTGTCTGTGTTCATTATGTGTTGGATTTTAATTAACAACAATTCTATTTCAGGTTAAATATAAAGTCATCATGTATAATGCATACTCAGCATATTAAAGACACATCATAGAGAAGCATGTGTAATTTTGCCGCCAAAATGCGTATCTTACACTCGTTAAAGTTGTTTTCTACAGTACTTAGTGACATTTGTTACAATGACGAAGACAGAAAATTCAAGCTTTTTACGTGTAGAATTTCCTTTAACTTTGTATTCCAACTTGTACTTTGTTATAACTGCTGGGTATATTATCTTCAGGTGTGATAAATATACAACTTTGTTACATTGTGATTTGTGCACTCTTATTAAAAATACTTAATTGCTTGTGTAATAATATGATAGAATAAAGTTCTTATTACAAACCTTTGCAAGTTATTTCATGAATCAATTTTAACTATAGATGATACACGGTAATAGATGTTTATTATGATATATACTGGTAAGTGTAATAAACCTTATCACAACACCATACATCATGTGTTTGATATATTGGTGATAATGTTGATATTAGCTAAAGATATATGTACAACAAAACGACATAAAAGACAAACAACAAACACCTGTTATACAAACATATGTTCTATACGGTTTCTTCTTGTGAATAACTACCTATCTACAGTACAGCCGGTTAGTGTAATGTTCATAGCTTCATCAAAATTAACTTTGATATTATTTTTAGTTTCTAGTTGATGTAATTCTTCTAGGTAATAAAGAAGATGTCGTATTAAGTTAACAGTTTGCTATTAACTCGAATCATTAACTTCATAATACATAATATACGACAAACCAAAATAAGTCAAATAAATTCTACACTAATATATATAATATTAAAGTTCCACACAAAATGGTGTGTTTCTATTATAAATTTTTGGGAATATGTGGTGGAATAAGTGCTACTGACACGAATATTGGAGCACCGCACAACTGAATTCTTACCCAGCATTTTTATTCCATTAGACTGATAATTACTGGCATTGTTTTTTGCTCCATACTTTATAAGTATAACTGTAGACTTACAGATCTAGTCTACTTACAAATATGTTTTATTTGATGGAAGACTGTTCACTTTCTCTATCATTAATAAGATAATATTTTATGGAAGAATTGAGGGTCGAATGTCCAAAATACACATTAGATAAGTGCAATGGTCTCAATAGATTAGTAAGTTAATTTCTTCAAATGCATAAATCCCACATGTGAATATCTCTCGTCGATCGACGTAACTGGAAAAAAAACAGAAAAATATGCGGTGATTTAAGGACGAATAATGCGGTGTCCAAATATACAAAAACAGGTTATGAAAGATAATAATGTACAAATCAATTAGACCAGTCTATGAACTAAACGGACGAGAAAGTCATTATATTTCGCAATCAAAGAGTATGCCCAAACTGTTCTCACTGTTTTGACTAATATAGTGAAGCATTTTGCATGTAGTAAAGACTAATAAGCTTCAAATTAAATGACACATTCGATGAAATGAAAAAATCGATGATTTTACCTTGTTTTGGGCAAATTATCATCTGTTTATTTGTCGTATGCAGGCTTGACATCCATTTTGTATGACAGAAAGATACGGTGTCTGGTCAGAAGTATGATATTTTAACGTTGCGCAAAAGCCTTATCACCGTGCAATAGATCATAGTATTTTCCTATGATTTTACATCTTTCTTTACCGTCAAGTACATTTGTATTTAACTATAGTGAGATAAGTCGATCATGTCGTCTCCCCTGACGACTCTTGTTTTGTTAATTGCTGATTTTTTATTTATTTAATTCATAAAAAAAATTTCAGATTAGTAATCTCATTAATTAATTTTGTTTTACAAGAATCTTAAATATTCTAAGATACAATTCACTGTAATGAAAACACGCTGATAGTATAAACTGCAAATATCATATCAACATTATAATTATAATATAGGGGAAAAGCAAAAAAGTAGCAAGTTTTGGTTATTTCTGGTATATCTGATTTTCACACGGATATTTTACACTTTTCTTGTTAGATTGCCAAATAAAAATGACATTTAATTAATTGTCTGCTTTCGGTGCCTGTTGCTTGATATTAAATATTGCAAATGAAAAAGAAGAAAAAAAGAAGAAAGAAAAAAATTCTACAAGTGTGTCTTAAACCAAAATCCAAAAGTAGGATTTGTTATGTTAAAATGTATCTGATAATCTTACCGCGTGTTAACTCTGTGCTATACTTTTAAACATTTGTTGTATTTTATTTCAAACTGTACATGCAACATGTAACCATTAAATAAGACAGGTTGTTTATTATGTCAGCTTTTAGGTTATCTGACATACATCCCGATAATAAACCTAACATTCCTAACATATTCATATTTAGGAAGTCCCAGAAATAAATGTGAACAGAACTTTAATAATGTTTGGCCTCAATTCCGTCTAGTTAATTTTGATCAACGCCAAATAATTATTCTGCTCCAATATATACCATCCCATCTGGCAAACATTTCTTGAAGCAATTTTCTGAGCCGATTGATCGAATGTTTACAGTATAGGTTTTCAATAACACTTTGCCTAAAGGCAAAAAAATGCCTCCGGTACAAATGTGATTGTGCGATAAAATTTATCATCGTATGGATAATACTATTCTTTTACAGTAAAGTATATGGTATGTGAACTGATGTACTTAATTTTTCAATAATTTTTATAGAATTGGACATTCGTTTTATAATTATAAGCGATCTTTAATACAGTTACCTGTGTCAGTTTATTAAATTGATATTTTTACTCTATATCAAAATAGGTTGATTAAAGTGCTTGTTGATTATTTGTTTGATATTTGAAATTAACTTTAATAAAAAAAATCATTAAGACTGAGTGAATAATTATGTTAACATTGTTTTGAGCATAAATGGACAGATCTAGGGAGTTTTAAATAATATTTTACTGACTGTAAAATACTTATGACACTTGTAGCATAAAACATAAAACAACCAAGTTTCGGGTATTTTAGTTAAGTATTATATGTTCATTTGTTCATTTGTTAATTACAATCAAGCATACATATTTCCAGTAAACAATAGCATATTGTTGCTTACTATTTAACATGAATTAAATGTAAAATAGTTATGTTAAAAAATATTTACATTAGACAACTTGGGTTAATAGTTGAACTTCTAATGTAATGATTGTTCGTTTCATTATACAGTAGGTAAGAACACTTCGTATTCGTATGTAAATAAATTTATCTTTACTAATTATTGTCATGTAGTATATAATGTACACAATGTGATGGTATTTTCTTTGTATTCAGAAAGCTTGTAACCATGGCGGTAAAATATTCGAATACATGTATTTAATACTAGGAATACTTTTTTCTTGACAAATCACGTACATGTTTTCTAAACAAAAAACAAGATAAAAATGCAACAATTTGACTGATTTTAGGAAAATCAATGTTGTAAAGAGCTTTATGATTCGTGATCAAGGTATCTCAGAGGGATGGCATGATTATGACGAGAAAGCCATTAAAGCCCGATAGTTATGACATACGATATTGACACAAAGACAACGTGATCAAATAATTCTGCTAACTTCTTGATCCAATATCTTCCCAGGACGTCCTACCATTGAAAATGCTGAAAACCAATGGACATTGAGCCGTGGAGATTGCAATGCGAACGATTCTATTGTTTTTTTTCGTTCAATTCAATCTGAAGAAAGATACGGAGATATTACGATTTAGATTATAAGATGCTTTCATTTTTATGGAAACAGCATTAAATCTTTTCTTATCGTTTTAAGCGCAAACAATTATTACAATGATGAAACTTGGAGTAATTACTTTAAAATATTGAAAGGAAGTTAAGGAAATTTATTGTTATAAATGAGAAACACACTGGAGATTAATTGCAAATCAAAATTGAAAAAGCATTCGTTCGTCTAGGAAAGTGTTGTTTAAAGTCAAAGGATATTAAAATGTCTGTGCAATCAATTTCTCTGCAAGTGCCGAAAGTAAAAAAGCGAAAATGGGGAAAGAAACCAAAGCCTGGAGAAAGTTTAAAGGTATGTTTCCTGTTTTTGTGTAGTTTTAGAAAACAGATTTATATTATACCCGTATGTGATTTAGAATATAATATGTGCTTACATAAAATACCCCAGTCTCTTTATCTTTCTTTTGTATTATTACAAATGTAATTTTATCAGTTGTTATTTCATTAAATATAATTAGTATATTCTAAATGTATCCAAAGGTATTACAAAGTGGCATTATGTACATCCAAGTATTAATGTACAGTGTACAGGTAAAAATCAAAATAACTTTACATTTTGCCATAATTGTGCTGTTTTTTCCCCTATAATTTTCTATGAAAAAAATAATAAGTGATCCGTGTAACCAAGGGAAATTTCCATAAATACCGTTCAGAATGTAGCGTTATTGTTCAAATTTTACAGCGAAAGGGACAGTCTTTTTATAAATTAGGTTGTTGTAAACATTTTCGTTATCAGTTATTGGTTAATCAACATTGTAATAACATTTTGAATTATATCAATAATTCAACTTGACAAAAAATATAACTTTTATAAATTATTTCTGTTTTGTTTATTAAGACAAGTGTCCAAGTGTTCATTCGTAGGGAAGTCGTAGAAACTTTACCTTATACACTTACATTGATGCGTTAACTTTTATTTGATTTTCATGCTCCCCAAACTGTCAAGTGGGGGAGGCCATAGAAACTCGGGAACGGGACCGCAGATTGCGGCGCAAATTTTCGGTCGTGCAACGGTTTTAAAAATGTCTCTCCTATATCTAAATATCGTTTCGTATCCCTCAAAGACTATACGAGTATTATTAATAAAACACAATCTGTTAATCATAAAAATACAATATACCGTAAATTTGACTGATATTTAAACTTGCAGATTGAATTAAATTGAGATTATATTGTTAAAAGATCACCCACTTGGATAATATGAAGATATTCAAAGGTCGGACTAACAATATATAAGCCGGTACGGATTTATGCGCCGCAATATGCGGTGTTGTTGTCCTGCTGTCCTTACGTTGACTGACAAATTGTGGATTATTTATTGTGGTTTCAAAATATGTGAAATGAGCAAACATTTCTATCATTCCACTGTTATGCACTGTTTCATCCGAGTATTATTAAGGTGATTCAGCAATGTCAGCCATGTTTGTTGTCAAAAGTGAAAGTAGGCCAAAATTCATATAACAACAAAGCTCACAATATAAAATGATGAACCATTTGAAATTACACTTCCAGATCTATGTTTTATGAACTATTATAGACAAAAATAAAAATGATAACACTAAGAATATTAACCTTGAATGTGCTTAATTTCTGAAGACAAAGTAAAATCTTTGGCAAAATTTTAATGGCAAAATCCAGTTTAGTTTTAGTGCAGACAAATGCTACTTTAGCAACTAATACAAAAAATTACAAAACTTAATTCCAAATAAAGCAGTATCTCATGTCCTAAGCACATTACCTCCATATTATTGTTTGTAAAAAAGTAGTGCAAGAAGGCAATCACCATTTATAGCCTTATGAACTACATGTACAATTAAAATGATAACAGCATTCATATTTCAAAAAATAGCTTAAGGAAGTGTGTCTGTCTGTCATTATACAAGAAATAGATAAAAGATGTTTTCTCTGGTACTACTTTTTACACGCAGCATGGAGGCCATGTTTTTTTTTTATCAAAGTCAGATTAACTATTTACCTTGGATTTAAGTTTTTGCAAGTTTTTTTTTGTATTTGCTGCAAAAATTAGCATTTGTCTGCACTTAAACAAACTTTACACTGAATTTTGCCATTCATGAAATGTTCATAAAACTTTGTAAAAGACTTTAATTGGTCTTAAGAAAATTAGCGCATTCAAGGTATATATATTCCTATTGTTTACTTTTTTATTTTTGTTTATAATAATCCTTAAAACATAGACCTGGAAGTGTTTTTTGCAAATTATTTATCATTTTACATTGTGGGTTTTGTTATTATATGAATTATGGCCTACTTTCACTTTGGACCCACTTAGTAAAAACTACTAACATGCAGAATTATGCACGGTGGTATCACTTTCTATTATCAGATTAAATTAAGACAAAATGTTCGTTTGTTGTTACATGTTAACCTCTCAATAATAAGTGTAGTAAGCACATCTACTGTTTTAATATTTAACATACATAATAGAAAGTTTAGAAAAATGAAAAATTATGTCCAATTATCTTCGTTTTTGTAAGGTTCTTGTGTTTTAATATTATTATATGTGAAGTATATATCTAGACACTGATAAAGTTATTCCCGTATACGAACATCTAAAGCGAAAATCACGCGATGAAAACATCTGATACTCGTTAACAGCGCCCATTCTTGTCATAAATTTCCATTGTTTTGTTTTGTTGGGGATTTTGCATATTAGAAAGTTTGGAATAACAATGGCGCGAATTGTGTTCGCCTTTGGGATTATTCATTTACTATGATTATTTTATCATATAAAGAATCTGTATCTGACTTTATCAAAACTATATTTTGCAGCGGCAAGGCAAGTCACACATATATAATTTTACGTTAGATTTTTCCGATAAAGCACAAATAGAAGTTTTCTACAAAGACTCTACGACAACACACTATTTACTTAATTACATTTCAGATGCCATGAAAGAAATTTGTATAAATATCTTGTTTATAAATTTCTATGTCTGCTTAATATAACGATTCAGTTTATTTGTTTTAGATATAAAAGTTTTCCTCTTATAGAATGCAGTACATAGGCTAAGGTATGGTATATTTCCTACAGTAGATGTTCTACTAAATTTATGCAAAACTTTGAGAGCGTTTACAGGAAAGAAACATCTGATGATTATTTTTAAATTAAATTTAATTAAAGAAGCTCAACTAGGTTTTTTTATATGACGGAAAGAGAAATATTTTTCGATATTTGTATGTACTTTGATGTATGTCTGGACCAATAAGTTGAGAAAATTTTCAGAACATTCACTTACTCCGGTTTTTGTTGTTATAAATATATAAATATAGTCAGCACTATATAACATAATAGTGACAATTTAAGAAGTTAGACATTTAAAATGACAACAGTGACTTATGGAAAACGACAATTTCAATGAAAGATTCATAATTGGATACTCACATAATGGATGTGCATGTACTTCTCTGACGTAGATTTTACACACCATTTTTAATTTTAAGACCCCATATGGAAATAAAATGAAGCATTATCATTAGTTACTTTATAACGAAAAGTTTTAAATTGCATTGATGTTTTGTTGTTAAAGAATTGAAATATTTTAAACATAGTAACAGTAAATGCAGTTCGTCCTCTATTTCAACAGTTTCACATATTTACAAAATCTATCAATCGTTGGAGTTTTATTGTATTCAATATTTTAATATATAAGTACTAATTCTAAATTTTGCAAAACATTATCTACCCATCTATACCCATATTTCGAAAATGTGTGTTTTTTTTGTTGTTTTTTTTTCAGTGCATAAATCTCAAGTTCTCTTAAGTATTCAGTTATACAGTTTAAAAATCTCTTGTTTAAAATACATTTAATTCAAAGATGAAAAACGTTTGAACGCCTTTAACACAAATTAGGCTAAGAGTTGCACAAAATAATAGTTTAATGAGTATATTTCTTTAATATGTTTTGTAAGTCAGGTGTTCATGTTGATCTTTGTCAGGATCAAATATTTTATATTTGAGTTTAACTGCAGCAACGTCATAAATAGATGTAACTCCACTCAGATAATGAAATTTATGCTCGTTCAAGTTCATATCATAAAGCTCGGTTACTTTGTTCGCCTGTAGTATTTTGTTTAATATATTAAGTTTAATATATGAGAGAACAATTCATAACACTTGTTTCCGCGAGTCTTGTTTGCTTTCTATTAATGTATGCAAATTAAATGATACACAGCGAAAATAACGTTAGTACTTTTTCTATTATTCTCGTTTACCCAGACCAGAAATATTCTTATAACTCTCGTTGAGTGAGACAACCAATTTTCTTACGTGACAAATGAAACATCAATCATTATACATCGAGAAGACAATCAGTCCTGAAATGCACAAATATTGATTAAAATGTTAAGAAATAATTCATTATTACAAAACAAAAATCTTCTCAATAGCATTGCTCACTTCTCGTCCGTCATCAACATTAATAAAATGTTGATGTGTTATGTTATAGAAATCGTTTGGAAAAAATACTGTAATCAGAGAAATAGCACATTATTTTTGATATTTGCGTAGAAACAGTTTTTTAAAAGAAAGGCTTAATAAATCATTTGGATGTTCTATCATCAAAAATCTTAGATAAAAAACCGATTTCAACAGAATTTATATTAAGCCCGGTCTGTAAGCTTACATTTATATGTATGTGGTGCGGATTTTTCAAGGGGTGGTACTGGGGCTGGAGGGGGGAGGTTGGTTTGGTTTCCGAGTCCATGATATTCTTTAACAAATAATTGTGTGTCGTATAATATTCCGTTAAAGTGTAATAGTTATAAATGTCCACATTTTTATTCTTTCGATGATAATTAAGTACAAACTCAGTAATCCGTTTTTTTTTCTGTTTTTAATATAGTTTCCTTTTTTCATATTTACATCAACAGTTCTGACCGGTCAAAATAACAAATATATATGTACATGTACATTAAAATGCACCGCAGAAAACTGCGGACTTAAACCGTCACATGTTAAGTGTCTGACTGCCTGAATCCCTCTATCAAAAAAATTCTTCTCATTTATTAATACAAAAATAATTGTAACAAAGGTTTCAATAATTAACCAATGAAAAAATGACCCTTAAACAAGAAAATATTAACCAATGAAAATACATTTTATCAAATATGAAATTAAAGATTTGACCAATAAAAATGGTTCGATTAAGACTGATTAACACGCCAGATATCAAAAGTCAGCGGCCTATTAATTCCTTTCTTTAAGTCAAACAGATAATCAGATAAGAAAACTTCAAATAAATGTCGTAGATAAAATTAATGATAATAATCATG